GTGGCCTTTCATACCCTCAGGGGAGATGCCCAACTTGAACAATCCTATTAAAAGAGGGAAGAATTTTCATGAATTCCTTTCTCCCCATGCTGTTGGGAAATATTTTCGTGGTAATTACATTGTTTAAATAATATAAGTTATTATAAAACTACAAATCCATATGTGTTTTTGTGTTTATAGCTTTTTACAGCTATCAGAAAACAATGTTATAAATTAAACACCAACAAAACTACTGAAGTTAATAAAATCAAATTACCAGCATCACTTAATGTGATGGGTTATACTTGGGTGAAATGAAGTCACCTGCGACACGAATACGGTAGTGACAGGTACGGGGCAAGTTCTTCTGCGCCGAGCATTCTGCACCACCATCTACTAAGCCATGACTCTATTCTCCCATCATTTTCCTTTTCCTTGGTTTCTTCATCCCAACGTGGCATCATGTAGCTGCCACTTGGGACTAATGCATTGTTTTCGTATCATTTCTTCTGTTAATGTTTCATTAGATCATGACAACTTGGCACTTTGGTGCTGAATAGAGCAAGCACAAATGGACCCACCGTACTGAAGTTGTGTCATCGGAGGGTCATACAGCTGGTCTAGAACTATACCGTCCTGTAGGGCAGCTGCTAGCCGAAATCGGCTATGGAGCACTTGAAATATGGATAGTCTGGATGAAGTTGCGTGTATGGAAAACACACTCATATCATATTTTGATGACTTAGAACGAATAAGTGGCTCATTCAATATTTTAAAAGTCGATTTCATGTTAAAATCACATTATTTGGAGTATATTGGGTTAAATAAAATTAATTCCACCTGGGTTTTTGGCTTATGTTTATTTTTGCTTTTTAAAATATATATCCTAGAGGAGCACCTGGGTGGCTCAGTGTGTTAAGCATCTGCCTTCGGCTCAGGTCATGATCCCAGGGTCATGGGATCGAGCCCCAGCATCACAGGGGCAGTGGGGAGTGTGCTTCTCCCTCTCCCTTTGTCCATGGTCCCAGCTCATGCTCTTTCTCTCTCTCTCAAATAAATAAAGTCTTAAAAAATTATATATATTCCTAGAAGGTTTCAAATTATACATGTAATTCTTTGAGACTTGTAATTCTATGAGACTACATCGTCTAGAATAATTGTGTGTGTGTGAGAGAGAGAACATGTGTACAACAAGCCGAAAATACAAAAAATTCTCATGGAAAACACGTGGGTATCCAAAACACATAGAACTAGTTTCCAGTTTACCACTGCTCTAGCATTTACTGGCTGTGTTCTTTCTCAGAAGCCAAGGGTGCAGAACCAGCATAGGACTTCCCTTGGCTTTCCCTCCAGTATCCTAGTGATATATTTCTGTGGTTTTCCCACATGACTTCCTTGTAAAAGTGTCTGGGGAAGGCACTTCCATCCCTCCCAGAACATATGTACTGTCATATATGGTCATTTTACAGTCATTTGATCAAAAATTGTTCTCCACTAGGGAAACCCATGGTAGATAAAAGACAAAACAAAACAAACAAACAAAAAAAAGGTGAGCATGTACTTTCTGGGCAAACAGATATAACCACTTCCCAAGCTACACAAAACTGTTGAAATTCAGGGGCCACATGAGTTAAGGAACTAGTCTAAAATGATATATAGCGGCACCTGGGTGGCTCAGTTGGTTGGGTATCCGGCTCGATATTGGTTCAGGTCATGGTCTCTGGGTCGTGGGATTGGGCTCCAAGTCCGGTTCTGTGCTTAGCATGGAATCCGCTTGAGAGTCTCTTTTCCTCTTCCTCTACCCTTCCTCCCTGCCTCAACTCTCTAAAATAAATAAATAAATCTTTTAAAAATAATAAAGTAAGATAATATGTAGCCAGCTATCCAATTGCACTCACATAGCATGTATTTTCTGAGTATCTACACTGACACAAGGCCCCACAGTAGACATGGGTAAAACACAAAGGTAAATAAATCAGGGATTTGCTGTCAGGAAGCTGGCAATCCAATAGAGGGGATAAGACGTGGGTAGGCCTGGTCCAAGGACCCAGAGGGGTTCCTGCAGGACTAGCAAAGAGGGTCCTGGGCTTCATGCAGGATGGAAATCAAACCTGAGCCAGCAGTAGGTGAGAGCAGAGTTTATTGAAGATATATATGCAGAGAGAGTGAGAGAGATATAGGCGGAACATCCAAGAGATTTGGAAGGGAGAGGAGTATAAGTCTTATCTTTACTTGGGGCCTGGGGTTTTATTAGCGATTGTGGTCTGGTATAGAGAACGTGTCCTCTCAGGCATCCAGGAACTGATCAGAACAAGGACAGGATCCAGGTGTCCATAAGTCCCTCATTCCCTGAAGCCAGGGGTTTAGGCATCAAGGTATTTGGAGTCAGTGGTGTTAGAGAACCTTTACGATGACCTCATGCAGTCACTCCTTAGATGTTATCTATGGTACTGGAAGACTCCAGAAACATCATTATCTTTTTGTCCCTTGCAAGGAGGACATATGCTATCGCATTACAAGGTGTATATAGACTGAGGTAGGGGTGCAGGTTCTAGCAAGGCAGAATCCAGAAGAGAAGCAAAGAGGGGGGACAAAAAAAACCCTTCAGTTCCCCCCATGGGGTCCCTTCAGTTTCTTTGTCTCAATAAAGACGTGTCAAAATTTCTTCTGTTTTAAATAGCAAAAGTTAATCCAGTATATGTTCCAAGAATAGTCTAAAATGAGTTCTGTACCTGAACTCATATAGCTGAACACAACCCTATGAGGTTGTTCCCCATTTTACAGATGAAAAAACCAAGGCAAAGGGTTATAAAATACTTAAAATGTTATATTATTAAGCAGCACTGGCACGTTTCAAACACAAATAGTCATATGAGCTTTTTAGTCACTCTTTTCTATTTTGCTTTACTTTATTATTTTTAAAAAGATTTTCTTTTTAAGCAATCTCACAGTCTAGTGGAAAAGAAAATATAAGACAGGTCAGATGGAAGCACAAACAGTGTGGATTTCTGTCACTTGCTACCAAAAAAGTGTGACTAAAATAAACTGTTACAACATTCTGGCCATGGTCTTCACCTTTCTGTGCCCCTACTCTTGCCTTATAGGAACCAGATCACAGGGAATAAGAAAGAGGTTTTTTGTTTTTTAAGAAAGAGGGTTTTTTTTTAATTATTTATTTATTTGACAGACAGAAATCACAAGTAGGCAGAGAGGCAGGAAGAGAGAGAGGAGGAAGCAGACTCTCTGCTGAGCAGAGAGCCCCATTCAGGACTCCATCCCATGACCCTCAGATCATGACCTGAGCCAAAGGCAGAGGCTTCACCCACTGAGCCACCTAGGTGCCCGAAAGAGGTTTTTGAAAAACGAAATCACTGTGATCAAATGAGAAGTCTGGTAGGATGGGTCAGATTGAACCAAGTGGCAAGTAAGATAAGGACTGAAAAATACCCATGGAATTCAGAAGCTAAGACACTGGAGAGCTTGATGAGACAAATTTTTTCAGGAGGTCAAGTGGAGTGCAGACTCTGGACTGATGAGTGTTGAGGAACAAAGAGATGGTGACATCATGGAGACAGTGAACTATGTTATTGAACTGAAACCCCTTTTAGGTTGTTGTATCATCCTTTGAGGGTTTGAGATAACTTTAAAGGAAGATAAAAATAAATTCCTTTCACATGGTCAATAAGCAGATGAAAAGATTCTCAACAGCTGCCAACAGGGACATTCAAATCAAAGTCACAATGAGATTATCACTTCACATCCACTAAGATAGCTACAATAAAAACAGACAACAGCTGGGTGGCTCAGTCAGTTGAGTGGGGACTCTTGATTTCAGCTCAGGTCATGATTTTGGGGTCATGGGATCAAATCTCACACCAAGCCCCATCTAGAGCCCCTCATTGGGCTCCATCCTCCATGGGGAGTCTGCTAGAGATTTTCTCTGTCTCCCCCTCCAACTGCTTGCATACTCACTCTCTCTCTGTGTAAAATAAATAAGTGAATCTTAAAAAAAAAAAAAGGTAAATGCACCTGAAAACACTTAAAAAAAAAAAAAGACGATAGCAAATGTCATCAAGAATATGGAAATATTAGACCCTCCAGACATGTGCCAGTGTGAATGTAAAGTGGTGGTGCCAATTCAGAAAACAGTTTGGGAGTTCCTCGAAAAGTTGAATGTAGAGTTACCACATGACCCAGGCAGTCCTAGGTATAATACCTCAGAGAAACGAACACATTTGTCCATAGAAAAACTACTACAGGAATGTTTGTAGCAGCATTAATTATAATAGCCAAAAAGTAGAAACAACTCAATACCCATCAACCTGATGAATGGGCAGACAAAATAGGTATACTAATACAATGGAATATTCTTCAGCCATAAAAAAGAATGAAGTACTAATACATGCTACAATGTTGATGAAACTTGAAAACATTATATACTAAGTGAAAGAAGCCAGTCAAAAGACCATATATTGTGTAATCCCATTTATGTGAAATGTCCAGGTGAGGCAAGTGCATATAAAAAAGGTAGACTAGTTGTTGCCAGGGGTTGCCAGGAGGGAGGAAGAGGAATGACTGCTAAGAGGTTTCTTTTCCGGGTGATGAAAATGTTCTAGAATTAGAGGTGATGGTTGCATAACTCTGAATAGAGGAAAAATACCACTGGAGTGCAAATTTTTAAAGGGTAAATTTCATGCTATGTGAATTATATCTCAACTTAAAAATCAAAATAAATTCTTCAAAATTGCAGCGCTCTTGGAGGCCCCTTGCCTTATAAAGAGGATGCCGGCAAACCCAGCAACACCCCAGACCAAGCACAAGGTGAGCCACTCCCCCAGGCCAGGGACCATGAACTGACCACGCCTCCAGGAGGAGGAAGTCCCTGCTTAGAGGCCGCTGACTGGCTGAGCTTTAGGAGGGGGCGGGGCTAAGAGGGGTGCGTCTAGTCTCTCTCGCAGGAGCGGGGCGGGCCGAAGCCTTCGCTCGCGAGATTTTGGTGGTTCCGCATTTCGGGTCGGCAAGGTAGGGGAGGCGAGCGCAGCAACTGGCACCGGCTCGACCCTCGGTTCAAAGCAGCGGCGCCCGGTGCTTTCGCTGGCTGCGAGCTGAGGATTGTCCGCTTCCTCGTGGTTCCTGCGCGGGTTCCGAATCCAGGGCGCGGCGGGGGCCAGTGGCCCCTCCCCTCCGAGGATAGAAGATGAGCTTCCTCTTGTGAGTGTGGCGGGGCGGAGGGCCGGGAGGGCTGAAGGCCGAGGGCGAGGGCGGGGACGGGGGCGAGCAGGCATCTGAGGCCAGAACGGGGTCCCGGGGTCGGGGTCGGAATGGCCGACGTTTGCTTTGCCCGCCTCCCGCCCCCTTCTCCCGAGGGCCATGGGAGAGGCCCGGAGGTGGGCCGGGGCAGACGGAGGTGAAAGTCGAGGCAAAGGAAACAGAGAGAGAGAGGGTTGCGGAGTAAAGAGGCCCCGAGGCCGGCAGTGCCTGCAAACTTTTCCGCCTCAGCGCCCCTGAGGGTGGAGGGACGACCCGGGGGCGGAGCCCGGAGCCCCGCCGCTGGGGCTCCCGAGTCCTCTCAAGTCTGGAGCCTTCTAGTACCGATCCGTGCTGACTTAGCTTTTTACTCCACCGTATGCCAAGTTTTATTATCTTCTGTATTAAAACTACCCCCGAGGAAAAAGGCTACCCCAGGAAGACGTGGTTTGAGAAGCTTGAAGTTAATCTGCGGCCTTGCATGCAGACTTCTCTCCAGTTCGGATTCAGCCCGCTTTGTGACTTTGTGTAGATTTTAGTTAGTTTGTACCCTCTACACCCATCATGGGGCTCAAACTTATAACCTCGAGATCAGGACTAGCATGCTGTACTGACTGAGCCTAGCCGGGCACCACTGTGACTTTGTGTAATTAACTTTTCCTGGGTAGAATCCTGTTTTAGAGATAAAGCCTGAGGCCCAAATGAGGCTTAAGTGGAAACTTTTGTAAATTCTCTGACGATTCTTAAGCGCGCTAAGGTTTGGGAAGCGTTGCTCCAGCACCTTATTATTTTCAGGTGGCTCTCTCTACCTGGTACATCACTTAAATTTTTGTGTTGTGTGATTGAGGACATCACCCACATATTTGACATTTTCATTAAATTTTATTCAAGTTCGTAGTGTTCCTTAACCAGAATTTATCCGTTTCCTTATTGTGATAATGTTTTGCTTTGGGAGGCACATTATGTTCAGAGACTGGGTTTGTCTTTGCGGGCAACGTATTTAACACAGGTTTGCTGTGGGAATTTCATAGGCCAGTAGCGTAGCAGCTAGTGTTTCTTATTAAACTAATGAAATACTCCAAGCCAGTGATGGATTAAATACACTATTGTTCCAAACAAGGAGAGATGAAAGAAAGAAGGCCCAGATTTAGTTGAGATGTACCTTTATAGGTCTTGGTGCTGGCTTAGCCAACCCAGAGCTGAGGTCCAGCAAGTGAAGGTCCTTGTTGCCAGGGAGCGATGGTGCTGGTGTTGACCTGCAAGTGAATTTCCCTTTTGGGCTGGGTATTTGACTGGAAGGGCCAGTTGCCCCAAGGTTTTCAGAGAGCTGTTTATTTTTTTTTTTTTAAGATTTTTATTTATTTATTTGACAGACAGAGATCACAAGTAGGCAGAGAGGCAGGCAGAGAGGGGGAGAGGGGAGCAGGTTTCCTGCTGAGCAGAGAGCCCGATGCAGGGCTCCATCCCAGGACCCTGAGATCATGACCCGAGCTGAAGGCAGAGGCCTTAACCCACTGAGCCACCCAGGCGCCCCTACAGAGAGCTGTTTAGATAGCAGTGTCATCTTGCCCAGACCGAACACTCTAAAGTATTCCGCACAAATTCTTGGTATTTATAGTCAAAATGTCTCCTTGCCGTAGTTGCTTCTTCATAAGTTTTCACTGATAAGCCCCAGGGGGGGCCCCTCAGCAGCTGAACTACTGAGTTCTTACGGGTGCGAACAGATGAGATGATGACATCCTGACACAATTTACTTCATTTCTTACGTGAAAACAACTTTTCTTTTTGTCTTTGTCATAAACAAGTGGATTAAAACAAATTTCACTTGTCTTAAACAAGTGGATTTGAAATCTTACCAAACCAATACATAGCAGAGAAATTTGGATTCTATGTAGTATTTTGCTGTTACAGCACTACTGAGAATATCCTTGTTCAAGTCGTTTTTTCCCGCCTTTCAGTTATTTTTTAGAAGTATGGGCTACACAGAATGATTACCAAGTCTGAAAGTTTTTCTGATTTAGATTGTAATTGTAAATCTCTGTATTACTGGAACAATCTTTCCCTCCACTCCCAAAGTCTTTTTCCTATATGTTAATGTTTAGTTAGTGGTTTGTTTGTGGATGCCCAGTTGCTTAGTTACCTTTTGGATCGAAATGTGAGGCTGTTTTTTTTCTTCTAAACTTTTTGTTGACAGGCATTTGCGTTTTCACTTCTTGGCTGTTACGAATGATGCAGCTGTGAACTTTTGTGTTCAGATTTTTGTATTGGATGCATAGGTTCATTTCTTTTGGGTAAATACCAAGAAGTGGAATCGCTGAGTTATATGCTAACTATGTTTAATCTTTTGAGGAACTGCCAAACTTTTTCAAAGTATGACAGCATTTTGCATTCCCACCAGCACTCTTTGAGAGTTTCAATCTACCCACACCATAGGTAGCACTTGTTAATTGTCTTTTTGATTATAGACATCCTGAATGGATGTGAAGTGTTATTGTGATTTTACTTAGCATTTTCCTAATGACTAATGATGGTCAGCATCTTTTTGTATGCCATTGGCCATTTGTATATCTTCTCTGGAGTCATGCCTGTTCAGATCCTGTGATCATCTTTAAATCGGGTAGTTTTTTTTTTTTTTTTTTTTTTTTGAGTTGTAAGTATTCAAAAATATATTTTTAAAGATTTTATTTATTTGAGAGAGAGAGAGAATGAGAGAGAAAGCACAAGTTGGGGAGAGAGGAAGAGGGCGAAACAGGCTTCCCACTGAGCCTGGAGCCAGACTTGATCCCAGGATCTTGAGATCTTGACTGAGCCTAAGGCAGATGCTTTACCAACTGAGCCACCCAGGCGCCCTGGAAGTATTACTGTAGATGAAGATCATATTGACTCTTGAGACATCATTTCATGTTAGTTTCTTTTTCTTTATTTTAGGGTTTTATTTTTAAGTAATTTGTACACCCAGTGTGGGGCTTGAACTCAACCCCAAGATGAAGAGTTGCGTGTTCTACTGACTGAGCCAGCCATGTGCCCCCTTTTTGAAACTTTTTCTGCCCTTAGAAGATGGGATTCTGCTGGACATTTGGTCCTTCATTATGTTTATGACCTGATATCTTGGCATGTGAATACATGTAGCTCTAACTTGTTCTTAACTATGTACTATTCCACGTTATGGATATATCAAATTTTATTTATTTCTCTTCTAATAAGTTTTGGGATTGTTTCCAGGTTCCTCTTTGTTCTTTTATGGAAATTTAATTTTTATGGTTAGAAATCCCTCTATTTCTTCTGGGTTTCATATCCTGTTAGCTTCCTTAGAGAAAAATCATTTTTCTCAGTAACCAGTTGTCTCATTTATTTTCCATGCTAATAACTTCAGAATGTTAATGTCACGTCTACTGTGGTTTGCTTTGATGGCATCACAAATCTTTTGATAAAGAAAACTGGATTTTTTTTAGCTCTTCAAAACTTAGGGCTATCTCTCTTCCCCACCATTGTCTGTAGGTAGAAATTGAAGCCAAAAGGAAGTTTGTTTTCTCAGACAGTCACAGAATTAGTGGCAGATCAAGGACTAGAATCCTGGTGCACCATACTACTTCATGAGGCATAGTAAAATTGCGTTCTGTATGAAATTGTGTTGCTAATCCTGAATCTTTGTGAGGAAAAACATTTAAAACATTCTTTATTTGTGATTGTCACCCTCTCCCTGTCCTGGCACTTTTCGGGGAGTATTTTTTAATTTTCAGAACAATTTGTATGCCTAAAATTATGCCATTCTGCTTTCATTCCTAAAATAAAGATTGATATACTTTTACTTTCAACCTAACAGCAGCAGCCGCTCTTCTAAAACATTCAAACCAAAGAAGAATATTCCCGAGGGCTCTCATCAGTATGAACTCTTAAAACATGCAGAAGCAACTCTAGGAAGCGGGAATCTGAGACAAGCTGTTATGTTGCCAGAGGGAGAAGACCTCAATGAATGGATTGCTGTCAACAGTAAGTTTTTAAGAACATTCAGCTTTGTTGATTTATAGGAACGTTTTGCTAAAATCTTTTTGTTAATCAAGTTTCTTTTTCAGGTATAACCATTGTAGTATAATGAATTACCTATAAAGAAACTCATAGTGATGCCTGGGTGGCTCAGTTGGTTAAGCGGGCTGCCTTCGGCTCAGGTCATGATCCCAGCGTCCTGGGATCGAGTCCCACATCGGGCTCCTTGCTCCACAGGGAGGCTGCTTCTCCCTCTGCCTCTTCCTGCCACTCTGCCTGCCTGTACTCTCTCTCTCTTTCTGACAAATAATTAAAATCTTAAAAAAAAAAAAAAAAAAAGAAAGAAAGAAAGAAAGAAACTCATAGGTACAAATATATCCGGAACTGTTTTGTTCTCTTCGGAGTACTTGGTTATGTAGCTTATGTGGCTGGGTAGAGACACCTGAGGGGAGATGTTGAGTGCTTTGGGGTGATTTCTGAGAATAGAATGGTAGGAATTATTGGGTAAGGTGAGATAAAACATTGGAATGCAAAATTCTACCGGTGGTGGACCATGACTTTGTAGGGAGCCTGCCTCCCCAGTCGCACCCCCCACTCCCAGCAGCTCTCACCTGCCTGCGTATACACAGACATCAGTTGCAGTTCATATGGGCAGTCACGTGATTGTTATGACTTAGGAGTAATCGGAGGAAATTGAGAGATTGGGAGAAAATGGGAGGGACCCATGAGCTGAAAGCCGCTCGAGTTCAAGAAAATGAGGGCATGATGTGGAAAGTTATATATACTGAGGCTAGAGATTTGAATACTTGAGCCTGTCATTTCTGAGGTGAGATCAGTACCAGCTGACAAGATTTAAATCTGTTAGGGACTTCAGATGTTCTAGGAATTTTTAAACTTCTTTTTTTTTTTTTTTTTTAAAGATTTTATTTATTTATTTGACAGACAGAGATCACAGGTAGGCAGAGAGGCAGGCAGAGAGAGGAAGTGGAACAGGCTCCCTGCTGAGCAGAGAGCCTGATGCGGGGCTCGATCCCAGAACCCTGGGATCATGACCCTAGCCGAAGGCAGAGGCTTAACCCACTGAGCCACCCAGGCGCCCCGGAATTTTTAAACTTCTTAATGAAAAATTTCAAACATAGAAAAATAGAGAAACTAATACAGTGAATTCCCAGGCTTCCATTGTCCAGTTTTAACAGTCAGTTCATGGCTAATTCATGCTTCTATATCTCGCTCTGATTAATTTTTTTTCTTTTCATGTTTTGATTCCTCCCTCCCCTCTCCACCTCTTCCCCACTCTTCCTGTCTCTCCCCTAGTTTCTTCCATGCTGGCAGTGAGACACGGCCAGCCCACCTCACCCTGATTGTTTTGAGGTGAATCCCAAATACATTCTTTCTTTCTTTCTTTTTTTTTTTTTTTTTAAGATTTTATTTATTTGAGAGAGAGAGAGGGCACAAGCAGGATGGACAGAGGGAGGGGGAGCAGCAGACTCCTCACTGAGCAGGGAGGCCAATGCGGGACTCAATCCTGGGACCCCAAGACCACCATCTGAGCTGAAGGCAGATGCTCAAATGACTGAGCCACCCAGGTGCCCCAAACATATTATTTCATCTATAAATATTCCATATCTCTAAAAGACAGGCACAACCCCCCCCCTTTTTTTAAGAATTTATTTATTTATTTGACAGACAGAGATCACAAGTAGGCAGAGAGGCAGGCAGAGAGAGAGGAAGGGAAGCAGGCTCCTGGCTGAGCAGAGAGCCCGATGCGGGGCTCGATCCCAGGATGCTGGGATCATGACCAGAGCCAAAGGCAGAGGGCTTAATCCACTGAGCCACCCAGGCGCCCTGGCACTCCTCCATTTAAAGATAATGACAATACTTCCATTACTTTATGTTAGCAATATCCCTGATTGTCTTCTAAATGTTCTTTTTTAAAAGATTTTATTTATTTGATAGAGTCACAGAGAGGGAACACAAGCAGGGGGAGTGGGAGGGAGAAGCAGGCTTCCCACGGAGCAGGGAGCCCGATGGGGGGCTCGATCCCAGGACCCTGGGATCATGACCCAAGCCGAAGGCAGATGCTTAGCAACTGAGCCACCCAGGGGCCCCTAATTGTACCTTTTTTAAAAAAAATTATATTTGGTTTAAATCAGACTAATAAGGCTTTTGTATAATGTTTCTTGAATCTCTTAATGCGCAGGCTCCCCCTTGTTGCAATCTTTGTTCCTTGCTATTTTTGTTGTTGAAGAAACCAGTTCATTTATTTCCCACAGTGTGAATCGTGTTGATTGTATCCCCAAAGCATGCATTACCACGTTTTGTTCTTCCTTTTACTTCCTGTGAATTTTAGATCTAGAGCAGCACTGTCCAGTAGAACTTCCTGCCATGATGCAAATGTTCTGTATCTGTACTGTGGCCATTTAGCTCTTGAAATGTGGCTTGTGTGGCTGGAACTGAATTTTAAATTTATTTTTAACTAAGTAGCCATTTGTGGCTAGAGGCTCCCACTTTAGCACAGATTTGGAACTTTGCTCAAATTCGGGTTTAAGTTTGTTTGTTTGGAAGGCTCCTTTATATGTGGTGACATATACTTCCAAAAGTGTCCAGAATGTCCTCCATACTATCCAGCTGTCTTTTTATGTGGTATTATTCAGCTGTTGATAATCATTTCTTTGATCAGCACTGTCCGATAGAAATATAATGTGAGCTACAAATGTTATTTAAAAATTTCTGTAGCCATAATAAGAAAAATTTTGGGTTTTTTTTCAGCATGTTAAAAAGCCTTTATTTGTATTACTAAGAGAAACAAGGTGCATAACTACGGGATATGTTAAATCTTTTGTGTAAGACAGGATACAGGTGCTTGGGGGCAGGAGACCAAAAAAATAATGTAGTGGTTATCTATAGGGGGAAGCTGGGGTGTTTGGGATTAAGATTTATCACTATATGTTTTTATAGATCTTTGTGAACCATGTGAAGCATTATATATTCAGAAAAGACCTTCCCCTATTTTTTTTAACCTTAACTCAAATTATCATCTGTTATTCTGAAAGCATCTGTTGGCCTTCCTGAGCCATCAGTTTTCCTTTGAGACTTTCTGTCTTGGACTGTTCTCCCACTTTTTAGCCTCAGGATCCCTGTATGCTCTAAAAAGTTATCAAGAGGGGCGCCTGGGTGGCTCAGTGGTTAAAGCCTCTGCCTTTGGCTCGGGTCATGGTCCCGGGGTCCTGGGATCGAGCCTCACGTCGGGCTCTCTGCTCAGCAGGGAGCCTGCCTCCTCCTCTCTCTCTCTCTCTCTCTGCCTGCCTCTCTGCCTGCTTGTGATCTGTCTGTCAAATAAATAAAAAATCTTAAAAAAAAAAAAAAAAGAATCTGGATCTACATCCATTAAAAAAAAAAAAAAGTTATCAAGAAACCCAAAGAGCTGTCAGTTATGTAGGTTTTATCTAGTGATACTTACTGTGTTAGAAATTAAACCTGAGAAATTTTAAATACTTTTAAATATTTAAATAAGGACCTAATGATTACTTTGTCTTATAGCACAATTACCAATATATCTGTCATTTGTTACTCCGAAGCCATCTGTTGGCCTTCTTCAGCCTTCAATTTTTCTTGGAGACTTTTTGCTTTAGATAGTCTGTTCTCCAACGTGACTCAGGAAGAGGAAGGTTTATAAGTGAGGGAGTTTTATATAAAATTCCTTTTGACGAGACGGAGCTTTTTTTAAATCTATTTGTTTTTTAAGAAATGCGGAAAAGCTCCAGGTGGTTTTTAGGGACTCCTTTAGACAGGGAACTGAAACATCTTTTAAAACTTTCCAAGGCTTATGTGGATGTCTCTGCAGAGGAACATTTGACTCTGATAGATTCACTACTTACTCCCTTCCTCTTCCATTTCTTCCATATTTAGCAGAAGCTCCTCTTGGAAGTGCTCACTGACTAGCTCAGCCCCTCGAGATGCTGCCTTTTCTCTTAACTCTTATATTCCTCTCAGTTTTGTCCCTTTGGATAGCTGGAGTCTCCAGGACAAGGGACATTATGCCACCATGTCCTTTCTGTGTCCTCAGTATGCATTAGGCCTCAGGTTTTTTATGATTTCAACAGGCATTTAAAACATCTTATCATAAAAATCATAAAAAACCTGAGGCCTAATGCATACTGAGGACACAGAAAGGACATGGTGGCAGATACAGCTGATAGACCTTCCCCCTTACAGGATGTTCTCCGATGCATTTTGCTTTTTCCCAACACAAATGGTATTGTCTGGTCCAGATTGATAGGAAGCAATGGATTTTTTCATTCCCTTGGATATAATCAAATTATATATTCTACTGATATAATAATCACCATTAAGTTAGAAGTATTGCTAAGATTTTATTTTCTTGCTGTTCTGTACTGGCTAAAAACTTACTATATTAAAGTGAATATAGATTAAAAGTTAATTTAGGTGTGACAGCTTAATAAGAGAAGGGAATTCGCAGTATCCCTGGATCATTGAATCTCTTACAGATTTATTCAAAAACTTGAAGGCATTGTCCATTTTTCCTTTAGCTGAGAGGTCTGCATTTTATTGTGTTTGCACAAACATTTTAACATAATTCTGCTATTATGTTTCCAGCTGTGGATTTCTTCAACCAGATCAACATGCTGTATGGAACTATTACAGAATTCTGCACTGAAGCAAGCTGTCCAGTCATGTCTGCAGGTCCCAGGTACATACACTGACTATTAGATAGGTATTCGAAGTACTAAAGAAAGCTGATCACTCATTGGTAGAAATGAAACAATAAGGCCTTTTTGTTTTTAATCTGTTTATATAAAAACAGTTCAATCTTACGAGTTCTTGAATGCTTCCTTATAAGCTTTTAGTTATTATTAAATACTTTGGTCTGTGGTACTTAGTATTTAATTGTATTATGCTGAATAATGAATGTTCAGTTTTTTTTCTTGTGCTTAGTGTTATGTCCAAATTGTGCCACTTTAATTTTCTGGCTTAAAGATGTTAGACTGAAAAAATTTGACTATAGGGGCACCTAGGTGGCTCAGCTGATTTGGCCGACTCTTGATTTCTGCTCAGGTCTTGAACTCCAGTGTCATGGGATCGAGCCCCACATCAGGCTCTGCAATTGGCAGGGAGTCTGCCTGAGATTCTCTCTCCCTCTCTCCATCCCCCTGCTTGCGCATGCACGTTTGCCCTCTCTTTCTCTCAAATAAATAAGAAGAAATTTTGAGTATAAAAAATTTTAAGAAATATTAAGAATCATGGAACTCTTTTATCACCTGTAATGTTAAGTCAAGGTGTGATGGGATTAATGTTTTAGTGTTTCTTTCCAGTCTTTTTTTCTAATAATAAATGACTAATTTTATGTGATGATAATGGTATCAAAATGTTTACGCCTTGGGAAAAAATTGTCTTTCCTGGATTTGCTACAGGTATAAAGGAAAAAAAAGGTCTCCAATGAGTTTGTAGTTCTATTTTTAATCACAGTATTTTGGAGGGATGTTTTTATTTTGTGTTTTATTCCTCAAACTTCTTTAAAATAAGTAAGAAAACTTATCTGTGACTTAAATGCTTCACACAGTGAAGTTTTGTAGAAGTCTTAATATACATTCTAGCTCAGCAAAGGGAGGAAGAAGAAATTTATGCCTAAGGGTATTTCTTTAGTACTCTCTGCAGGAAATAGTCTCTCTTCCTCTCTCTCCTTCTCTCTCTCTCTCTTTTTTTTCCTCTGTTAAGATTTTGTATTTTTTTCCAGTTGAATTTATTTTTTTATTATTTACTTTTTAAAGATTTCATTTATTTGAGAGAGAGAGAGAGAGAGTGAGCGCACAAGCAGAAGGAGGTGGAGGGGCAGAGGGAGAGGGAGAAGCAGACACCCCACTGAGCAGGGAGCCTGATGCACAGAGCCCAGTGCAGGGCTGGATCCTGGACCCTGGGATCATGACCTGAGCCGAAGACAGATGCTTAACCAACTGAGCCAACCCGGTGCGCCCAGGAAAGAGTCTTATTATGTAGACTCCGTTGTTGATACCTTGATGGTCAGCTGTTGCAGGATGTGGGGGATCCATCTGTCTCTGACCCAGTCCTTAGCTCCCTCTACCATGAAGATACAGTTCCTTTATCTTTAAACATCCATTCTGGCACTGTCAGCTGCCACATTATCCTCCTTTTCTCTTCCAATTATAACTATCCTATTTCAGGATAATTCTATAGGGAACTCTGAGTAACCTCCAGTAGAACTTGAAGTCATTTACTAAGTTATGTTTAACTTCTATTGATAAAATGTAGACCTACTTTGATTACAAATTGTACATTTGTTACTGCTTTTGAAAACTCTATCAGTAAAACCTTTTTCTCTCCAGATATGAATATCACTGGGCAGATGGTACTAATATTAAAAAGCCCATCAAATGTTCTGCACCAAAATACATTGACTATTTGATGACTTGGGTTCAGGATCAGCTTGATGATGAAACTCTTTTTCCTTCTAAGATTGGTGAGTTAATGTTGAATATTTTCCTTTTTAACTGATAAATATGTTGTATTATTTTTAATACTTTGTTACTTAAAAAAAAAGTAATGATGGCTGACAAATTCCTCTCCAAAAAGTTTTGTAAATGCATATTCCCTCCAGCCATGTTTGTGTCTGCCTGTATTTCTTCACTGATAATACTGGTTGGCTACTTATTTTTTAATCTTTTCAATTTGGGTAAATAAGTTTGTTTGAATGTACATTAAAAAAAATGCTGATGGCATTGAGATTTTTTTGATTTATTGATCATTGTGTGTTTTCTGTTCCTATCCTTTTTCTATTTCTTTGGTAAGGATGCTAGCTCTTTGACATATATGTCATATGTATCTTTCCCTAGCTTGCCTCTTGTCTTATTTTGTTCATGAGGTATTCTTGCCGTATGTAACTTTCTATTAATTTTTTCCTTTGTTGCGTGGATTTTAATATAATGATTAGAAAGGTTTTCCCTACTTCAAGATTATAAAAATATTTGTCCTTGTTTTCATTTAGTACTTTTGTGGTTTTGTTTTTACATTTAAATCTTTGTTCTTGCCAGAAATTTTTTTCTTAAGGCTCCCTTCATTTTTTTTCTAGTTATAAATGTGAATCAGTTTTGTACAGTACCATTTATCGAATGCACGTGTCTCTTCTCCCTGGGTCATTGTATGTGTACACCAGATTGCCGTGTAATTTGGAGTCTTTCAGTCTCTTTATCTGTTCCTGTAGGAATTCCACACTGTTTTAATTACCATGGCCATATATCTTTGAGCATCTTGTAGGGCTGGTCTCTCTTTCTTGCTCTTCTCTTTCAGAATATTCATAGCTCTTCTGGGATACTTGTTCTTCCAAAGAACTTAGAATCATTTTGGCAAGGTAAAATAAAAGTATTTGTGAGATTTTGATTATTTCATTCAAATTGTAGATTAACATAGACAGTCTTGTTCTCTTGATGATACTGGGTCTGCCCAAGAATTAGGTACATTTCTTCATTTCTTCATCTTTTCTTTCTTATTTCCTCTTGTAAAATTCTGTAGTGTACTTTATGTTAATCCTTCAAGTTTAAGTTTATTCCTAGACATTTTATGGTGTTTTTAAATTGATGTCTGGCTTACAAATGGTTGTTGTTTAATACATAGGAAAGCTTTTGATTTTTATATACAATTTTGTATAAGTTGACCGTCAGATTCTGATTGTTTCAGTTGTTCTGGATTGGTTTTCTTGAGTTTTTCAGGTACAGAATCACATCATATTAAGATAATATTAATTTTTCCTCTTCCTTTCTGATACAGATGCTTCTTGTGTAGCTCTTATCTCGTTGCCCCAGAGTAGTGCTGAGTAATGGTGATGATGTGGCAGACCTCTTTTCTTGTTGCCTTACTTTTATGTAAGTGCTTCTAGTACCTCAGCATTAAGCAGGAATCTTGCTTTTGGTTAGAGGTGTGTACATTTTTAAAAATCAGGTATGATTGTTGAGTTTTACGATATTTTCCCAGTGTCTGTTGTTGGTTACCACAAGGTTTTCTCCAGTATCTTTTTTATTTAATGTTTTACTGGAAGAGTATTTTTTATTTGCTAATATTTTGATCAAGATTTTGGCATTGGTATTTATGGATGAGATGAAATCAGTCTTTTCATTTTCAGTTTAAGAGTGTCTTACGAACATCACGTTGGATTCTGTCTTGTCTGTTCGGGCTGCTAATTACAAAACTACCAGAGATTGGATGGTTTATGACAACAGAAATTTATTTCTCAGCTTTTAGGGCTGGAAGTCCAAGATCAAGGTGCCAGCGTAGTTGGGTCCCTGTGAGAGCCCACTTTTGGGTTGCAGACTTCTGACTTCTCAGTCTTCACATGGTGGAAGGAGCCAGCAGAAGTTCTCTGGGGCCTCTTTTTTAAGGGCATTGATCCCATGCAGGAGGGCTCTGCCCTTGTGACCGAATCACCTCCCAGAGCCCCACGTCCCCACGTTAGGATTTCAACATAGGAATTTTGAGGGGTAACAAATATTCAGACCATAGCAGATTCCTTTTTGTGGTCTAATCAGTGACTCTTTTGGGAGAAAAGCTTGTATCATGCTAACACCCTGTCTGTTTGCTATTGGTCAGGTTTTTTATTATTAAACCGTTTCCTTTCTCACAGATTCTTTATTGTGTATTGACTGTGCTTGGATGTTTCTGTTCAGCTCAGCTTGGAAAGTGCTTGGTTTAAGACAAATTACTTCTATTTCTTTAATGATTAAAGTCTTCCAATTATGGAAAATAAAGAATATTTAAAACTTTGTTCCCTTTTCTCAGCTTTCCATTCATTAGTAATCCATCCTAATGTTTCAGAAGCCTTTTCCCCCTCAACTAGGCTATTATTTACATCTTACTTCTGCCAGTTATTTATTCTTACTAGATAGAACTGTTAACTCACTTTCATTAGCTAGAGGCTTATATTTGTAAATTCTAAAAGAAGGAATTTGACTTAAAAATCCAGCTTTTCAGTATATGAGTACCAGTCCAGAAAAACATGCCCACAAGCTCCAGAATAAAGTTAGAAAATGCAGGTTGTTAGGGACATCTGGCTGACTCATTCAGTAGGGCATGCAACTCTTGATCTCTGGAGGTCTTGCGTTCAAGCCGCACGTTGGGTGTAGAATTTAACTTAAATAAAGTTTTAAAAAGAAACACATGCCAGTTGTTAGCCAAGATGGGATGGGGGGAATCAGAAAAAATTTGCTTGTAAGAGCAAAATAGACTAAATTTTAGGCTTTTAAGGACTGGTTAAGAAATAAATTAAAATGCAGGCAAGGAGAAAGTGTTTTAACCATTTTTTTTTTCTGAAAGATTGAAGAAAAGGAAATGTTTCTTGAGTAGTGTTGTGGAATAACCTTTAAGGCTGTCTAATCTAGGTTATTTTGGAAGCTGATGCCTTCTTAATGTGTTTATATACTGTACTCAGTGCCACTTGTATTGTCTTGCTCCTGTCTCTATTTCCTAAGACTTTGATCTTGTCAACCGGAATTCTCAGGAACGTGACCAGAGGTTACCAAACCCTCTCCCCATTCTTTTCTAAGGAAGTGTTTATTTTCTTTGCAAAATAGTGAGGTGCTCTGCCTCCCTTTTCCCGGAAGTTTGTCCCTATCTTGTATTACAGGAAAATGAAAATAGCACTTTAGAGAAAAGATAAAAAGGTTGGGACTCCTAAAACCAGAAAACTGGTTTTTCAGAGTAATGTAGATAAAATACTTTTTATTTATAGACAGTAGATTATAATGCCTTTTTGTCTTGCGTAGTTTTCATTCTTGGTTGAGTGTGTGTTTGTAAAAAATTATTTAGAGTTACGAATTACAAAAATAGAAATTGTTTTATTTATATCAAAATACTTGTTGCATTTAATCTTAGGAAGAAACTCTCCAGTATTAAACAGCTGAAATTATATTCATGTTAGCTCCTTATAAACTTGGTGCCTGTGCCTGTTTTTCTAAGGCAGTCAGAAAAAGTGCTGTGTGAGGATACCTCGTATATTTATGTTTGGGTTTTTTTTTTCCTTTGTCTTTTTTTTTAAAAAGTATGTATGTCAAAAACAGGCTTGTATTTGTGAATGTGTGTGTTTGTGTGTTGGAGTTGCTTATGGCAGCTTCTAAACTGTTCAGTTGGATAAAAGACAATGGATATATATGTGTATTTGATTACAGGTGTCCCATTTCCCAAAAACTTTATGTCTGTGGCAAAGACCATTCTGAAGCGTCTGTTCCGGGTTTATGCCCACATTTATCACCAGCACTTTGACTCTGTGATGCAGCTGCAGGAAGAGGCCCACCTCAACACCTCCTTTAAGCACTTTATCTTCTTTGTTCAGGTAAGTTGAACCATGTTGACTTCTTTGTCCTTTGACTTGGACTCGTTTGTTAATTTTAATAAAGAGTAATTGAGAGAGCTATTTTACAGACGGAGAGTGAATTATAAGCCGATTCCTCTCTTTTCTCTTTTCCATGCTGTTTATTTCATTGGTGAGCATAGTGGCAATATAGAAAGCATCACCCCTGTTTTGGGCTTTCTGCCTCTGGCTACCGCAGCCGGGTCTCTGGTTAGGATAGGACAGGGAGCACTGAAACTCCAGGACAGCTTGTCCCCACCCTCCTGTTCCATCACCACTGCTGAGTAGAAGGGATGCTCTGGAAAAACGTCTGCAGTTGGATTGTTTCATGAGATGTCTGTGCCTGGGAGAGAAACTTTGAGAAAAACTTATTAGTTGTTCTCTTGGTTTAAGCTCCCAGAAGTCCCATTTCAGGCCAAATCTTATTAAGACAGCAACTAGAAACTTCAAAAAGGACCGCCCCATTCAAAGATGTAGCCTGTTACCTAATGGGCCCTAACTTGGAACTGGAACGCCCCCCCCACCCAAGATTTTATTTATTTATTTATTTAACAGTGCGCACGAGCAATCACGAGTAGGCAGAGAGGCAGGTGGAGGGGGAGGGGGAAGCAGGCTTCGCTGAGCAGAGAACCCGATGCAGGGCTCAATCCCAGGACCCTGAGACCATGACCTGAGCCGAAGGCAGAGGCTTAACCCAGTGAGCCACCCAGGCACCCCGGAACTGGAACTTTTTAAAAATCAAAATAATTCACATTGTTTGAAAAAGATATTAAAGAATTGGGACTCCTTTGGCAACTTTAGAGATAGATAATTCTCTATGCAAAATGTACATAGGTCTTGTCTAGATAACTGTTTTTTGGTAGAAAAGCCAACAGTCTTATAGTATATATTGTGTATTTCAGTTACATGTGCCGCACAAAGGAGAATGTACTGTGCTCTTCTCTCTCTTCCTTCTGAGATTGTTGCGTGGCGTGGATCTCGATAGAGTGTAGGTGCTGAAACAGGTGTATAGATACAGATACGGGGTAAATACAGATACAGTGTAGAGAGGTAGTATAGCTATAGTACAGTATTTTGATATAAATACTTGATACGTAGATGGAGGGTTAGTATAGATCTATGAAAGACAAAGGGCCACGGCCCAGTAGGTGGCCATGATCAGAAGTTCCCTGTATAGCTTTAAGATCATTTCCATGGAAAGGCAAACATAGACAGTTTTGATTTTAATGTTTTACACAGTGAGGATCATGCTAATACCTACAGTTGTTTCTTTGGTAAGTCCCCAATATTTTAAAAAAATGAGTAAAATGATCCCATTTTAAAATGTTCACAGAGAACATTTCATCATTTTTTTGTATTTCAGAAAACCAGGGCTGGGAATGACATTTATGGAGTTTTAATTTTAGGCTTATTTTTAAATTTTACTTTTCTTCTCTTTTTAGGAGTTTAATCTGATTGATAGGCGTGAGTTGGCACCTCTTCAGGAATTAATTGAGAAGCTTGGATCGAAAGACAGATAAAATGTTTCTTCTAGGACACAGTTACCCTCTTGCTTCATTTGCTAGAGCTATCTCATTGCTATCTGTTATAGACTAGTGATACAGACTTTTAAGAAAACAGGATAAAAAGACCCATGTGTTCGTGTCTACTGACAAAATTGTCCCACAGGTAGATTGGCCCAATCCTTCAGTGAGAAATTCAAGAGGCAGCTGACTCTGAGGCACTGTTTGACCACTCCTATTACTGTCAGAGTTGGACTTGCTTGTAATATGTGATGATAACATGTAGTCTATTCATTTTCTTTTCTTTTATGAGTGCTTCAGGTTATAGCATAATAGCAACTGGGAATTTCCACCAGTACTTTATTAACAAGTTTCCGGAACAAATTACCTAATAACACAATCAGATTCATTTTATCCTGTTTTTATTTACAAATAGAAGAGGTATTTTTAAGTTTCCTTAAGATTTAGAACATTTGTGTGTTATTTTGGGTAACCTTTTAGTTTGAAGTCAGTATGCTGGTGTTTTTATAGGTAAGACTATATATTATATGTTTATTTTTTCAGAATCCATGATTGCAGTTTAAATCCTCATATGACTATGTAGTATGGGAGTAACCAGAGTTATTTCTAAAATGATGTTATTTTTAATCTTTATTTGGGATTTTATTCACATAAACCTATCTAAAGTTTTAGGAGTTTGTATATCAGAAATAATTTTCTTAAGGCATGTAAGGATAGTCTTGTACATTTTTATTTTGAAATGCTTCATTCAGATTAATTTTAATAGGTAGCTTTTGGCTAAGAAAGAAAACTCCAAAAAATTATGACCAGTTCAGGTCTCAGAACCACTATTTTCACTCATGTTGTTTTTTTCAGAGCCCCTGAGATCCTGGAGAGGAGAGTGGAAGTACTCAGAGTACTTGGTTATTTTCTTTTGAGTGTCCTTTAAAACAAAAACAAGAATTACTGCTATTTGTTTTTGTTGTGACTTGAGACTTCGTTAAGAGTAGTGTAGAAATGTCCAGCCTTTCTCCCAACAAGGATAAAACTTAAGGAAGCCCATAATAAAAAACCTTGGTGGTGTACACATTTTATAACACAGCTTAAAGTTTGGTGTGCTACCTAGTGTGTGTGTGTGTGTGTGTGTGTGTGTGTGTGTGTGTGTGTAAACAAAATGGGAGGAATAAGTAAAAGATCTTTACTTCATCCTGTTAGCAAAGGATGGCTTGAGCCCCAATAGGGATTTAATCCTGTTTTAATTGTTTTTGGATCAAAACTTGAAATTCTTCTATTTCTATTGGGATGAAAAAAATCTTCCCTTTTAGTGAAATAAAGGTCTAATTTTCATTAGGTTTCTAGGATTTAGTAAACTCCATCCGCCTGTCAAGAATGTACTGGGCACAAGTCTATTGAGGACTTGCCCGCCTGGCCTAGCTTGAAGTTGGTCAGCGTTCGGTGTGAGTTCAGAGCTCGGAGTTTTGCAGAGTGCTCACTAACTCCCTTGATGGCTTTGATAAAAAGTTAGTTTGGTTAGGGATTTTTTTGTTATTTATTTTTATCATTCCACTGAAGTATAAGGAAAAAAATAGCTTAGGAACTCCATTTTTATCATAACTGAATTTCATATCCAGATATACAGAATTTTAAAGGAAACAAAACCTTTCACCTATTTTATTTAGGCTGAAACCATACATCACTCCAGGAATTAAAAAGTGGGATAATCCTTATTTTAAAAAAAGAGAGAGAGAGAAGCCCTCTGAAACATTCCACAACTCATGTTTTAAGCTTATCCAAAGGTACCTGTGTGGAGTTCTGTGTGTTTGTGTTGATCATTTATAAACAAGAAAGCAGGTTTCTAGATGCCACCCAGAATGTTAACTGCCTCTTGACTTTGGCTTTAATTACGTTTTCGTGGAATGGAATTCTGTTTCTCAACTAGGATTATAGTTTCCATCATTTCTCATATTTCACATGATTCCTAAAGCAGTTCTCACTTTTCTCCATTTATTTTCAGTGATAGAAATCCTCTCTCTCTTCATGACTCCATCCCAAAACAAACCAAAGATGGTCACATGCTAGACATAAATAAAAAATTTGTTGGTAATTGGAGACTCAGAATGTCCTTTTTTAAAATAATAAACATATTACCAGGTTCCCAGGCTAACCGGGCTTTACCAACAGTGCACCTACCCATTAAGTTACCACTACTTGTTCACATCTAAAGCCAGGGGGTAGAGAGCAGGAGAACTGGAGGAAGCCAGGAGGGTGAGGCCCTTCTGACTGGGCTAGCGGGCCAGCCTTTGAGAAAAGTCAGAACAAATCAGTCTGTCCTGGACTCTTCTCCCTTGTGAATTACCTTCCTGTGCCCAGGATCCGATTGCTGCTCCTCACCCCTGAGTATAGTCATGGGGTAGAGAGTGCTTGCTAAATTATGTAGGTAGTCCTATGGTGCTTAATTTCCAGGCCTTTAAAAAAATACTTTTAGACAGTGATGTGCGGGTTTTTTGTTGTGATAGCCAAATGTCTCCATTATTCTCCAGACTGTGAATAAAGCGATTTGTCGAGGGCTACCTGCTAGCCAGTTTCCTCTCCTCTTGGACTTGTAGAGCCCTGGCTTCTGTAAGCTGCTGCCTGCTTGCGAAGTGCAAACCTGCAGTCATCGTGACTTTGATAACAAAAGGCAGGCTTCCCTAGTAGCGCAGAGCCAAGAGGAGCCAACCACTGGTGATTGTAACTTCTCCAAACACTTTTGAAGTTTTCTGATGATACCGTTGGCTTTCTCTCGGAGAAGTGAGGTTATACTGGAAGTGGAGCTTCTAGACATAACATCATTACCTCACCAGCAATAAACAGATCAGCCCCAGAGAGTCCCACTCTTAGAAATGTGTTTCTGAGCAGCAGCAGTCCCGGTGCTGGTGGTGCCTGCCTGGTATGGGAGGCTGCCTCCTGTCTGAGAACTCCGGCCTGACCGATGCTGGCAGAGACCCCAGACACAGCCCCTTCGACAGGGATGGACTTTCTTCCTGAGGTCAGTTCAGTAAGTGGATTTGATTTTTACTATTGTAGAATTTTGGCAAAGAGGGAAAGTAGTGGTCCCTCAGTCTTCCTGTGTGTTCCGCAGTAGATTTTGCTGTCTCCGACTATACAAGGCTCGGGGGGTGACACTGCATGTGACGGCGGTGACTTTGCTGAAGCAACTGCGCTGAAATTCACTTGGGTTTCTCTCATTCTCAAATTCTGTTCCAGACAAGTATTCTGTAAATCCAAATGGATTACCAGTGCGCTATAGGGTTTTTAATAGAACATTCTATGTTTGATCTACATCAACAGTAGTTTGCATAAGTTAGTCTTGGTTACCATCTAAAATATTTTTAAATGTTCTTTACATGAAAATTTATGTTGTATTTTTAAACCTTTAGGGGCTTTATCTATTTTTCTAAGTCAGTTAATTGTACTTTTAAAGAAAGTATTTTGTATCTACTTTTGTAACTTCAGAATAAAATATATTAAAAGAAATGACTAGTTAAAGTATGTGCCTCAACACTTTCTTTTAAAGATTTTTTTTATTTATTTATTTATTTATTTATTTTATTAGAATCTTTGTTAAAGATTTTATTTATTTGAGAGGGAGAGTGTACGTGCATATTCCCCTGAGTGAGGGGGGACGGACAGCGGGGGAGGGAGAGAGGCAAGTGGATTCCACACTGGCTGGATCTCATGACCCTGAGACTACGACCAGAACCCAAATCAAATCACACACAAAACCGGCTGAGCCACCTAGGCGCCCCTCACACTTACTTCTATTTAAATGTGAAACTTAAAGTTTTTGCTTCTATAGAAGGTTGTCTTTGGTTATCATTTAGTAGCTAAAATGTCTCCTTAACTTTTAGAGGAAAGGGAAGTCCCGAAATAAATATTCCAGGGCCCCACCCCCAAGAATGAAACTAGGCCTATGATTATAGTGGCTAAAACCCACCCCAGACAAAAAAATTAGTAGTCTCCTACATTAACCAACCTGATCTCTTTTTCCATATTCCTGGTTGTGGACTGAGAAAAGGAAAGAGGAGAGAATGGACTCATGATTTTCTGGCCTTGAACCGAGTGCTCATCATATCTATAAAACACCGCCCACCCCAAACAGCCAGTTTTTGTTCCTGTAGGAGAAAGTTATTTTTGGAGGTCTGAATTATAGGTACCTTATTTTAATGCAAAATAACAATGATAGAATTGTTTTGACCGTTTGATTAGAGTTAAAATTTAGAAGTTAATATAGCTAAATAATATGAGTTAATACTCCTATTTTGTATAAGATAGAAATACACTTACTCAGTTTTGGATTTTTTTGTTGTTACATTTCAATAATAGGGTTAAAATCGCTCACAAAAATGTAAGGATGTCTAATGTCTAAGTTTGAAAGCTCTTTTAAACTTTATAAATGAGTAGTAGAATAACCCAAATAATCTTTGGGAGGGCCAGAGTCAGGCTTCAAATCTACACAGCCAGAACAGTCTGAACCCTGTCTTGGGCCCTCTAGCCAGTAACTCACTGCTGAAGGGCTTGGAATGGACACTACGGCCTGCACCATTATTGTTGGCCACTAGATGTCAGTCTCTGGGTCAGCACCTCCCAAAAGCCAGATGCATCAGCCCTGACCGAAATAAAGAATTTTACCTAAAACTCTTCCTTTCCTGTGTCTTCCTAATTAAAAAAAATATATATATATATATATACATACATACATGGGTAACAAAAATAAAGAAAAATACAACAAAAACATGGGCACCTCAGATTTGGTAGATCCTAGGTCACATACCTCTGTTCTGGCTGCTACAGAGGCTGGGCAACTTGCTGGATTTTACATGGAGGTTTAGGGTTCACAGCAAAATTCATGCTGGATATTCAAAAAACTTGGACTGGCTCCTTCCCTGAACTTTTTGTTCTTGCTCTGCGAAAAGATAAGGGAGTTGGCACTAGAATGTCAGTTTCTGGGCACACTGTTCAACTGACATTTCTTTGTAGCGTATTTGTTAAGTGAAGGAAGTTATTGATTCAGATTCTGGTCAGGTTCTTTGATGAGTGCTTTGAATACCACTTCTTTAGGGGACTTGCCTGTTCAGGGGAGTCCTTCAGCGGGTTGTCTTATTTAATCCTTACGGCCACCTGTGAAGGGGGCAGTAACAGAGATATGTTAAGAATTTTCCAATGTTTTTCAGAAGGTGGCACAGATGCTCTGACTTCAAATAGCTAGTTCATAGTGAGACAAGTGTTTTCCTCTGGGATGCATCTGGAAAATTCTGTGTGCTGATGAGTGCCAGGAGGTTCTAGAAAACAAAATGACTGCAATTTATACCTATGAGGTAAAAAAAAAAAAAAAAAGGTATCCAAAGAGATCCTCCTGAAGGAGTTTTTTTGCAGTTAGCTCAGACGTAAATATGAGTGACCATGGACCAATATAAGCGAAGATAAGAGAATCTCAAGTTCAGAGCAAAAAAAGAAAAATGCAGAAGGGATAGATCCATTTCCTGGGACTAAAGCTACTATACTTCTCAATCATAACAAAACTGGTCTTTTATTTGCTTCTATCATAAAAAGTTACACTTGAAATATTAAGTTGAAACTAATTTGGAAGCCCAGAATTGCTGAGATTGTTCTGTAAATCCTTTCCTAAAAAGGTTCAAATTCACACTCTGGAGCTAGAATGGCTAACCCACTTTTCAGCTCTGTGCAGTAATCCTAGTGTGTGCACTTTTTGTTCTGTTCCAGGCTGGGCAGCTGACAACTAAATCTAGAGCCTGGGATGGAGGTCAGGGATCTCTGGGAAAAACACACCCATGTAAATTGGTAGAGTTCTCCAATTGCCATATGTGCAATCAAAGTTCTGCACAAGTTGTGGGCCCCTAAGTTTACTGTGGGGCAATCAGAGGTGGCTGCCTGGAGAAGACAAGGCTTGAGTTGGCTTAGAAGATGGGTAACCACATAAGCAAGCTTGTAACATAGATGGCACAAGGAGGCACCAGCCGTCCAATATTACTGAAGGATGGATGTCAGCTGGACAGGTAGGTAGGGGTTAAATCATATGAAAGAACTTGGGTTTTTGCCAGTAGGTGATGAAGGGTTAGAAGGATTTTCGATAAGCAAATAATGGACAGGTTTTCACTTCA